CTGTTACTGTTTCTGTTATTGTTATTGTTAGTATTGTTATTGTTAGTGCTGTTATTGTTAGAATTGTTATTGTTAGTATTGTTGGACCGTGTGGAGTTTAATCCAGGGAGTAATCGGGTGCTTTGAAATTATGAGCATGATAACTCCCTAAAGTGTGCAACAGGAGGCCGTTTAACGAGGGTTTGTTTACCTTGAATATTTTCAACATCGAGTTGATTTGTTAGTGAACATGGAATCACTTCAAGGCAATCACGATAAACATATTTATTTATGTCTTTGAATGTTTTTATCACTCGTCACCTTCCATTTCGGACTCTTTTCATTTTTATTCGCGGGTCTTTAATTTTGTGATTTATTTGCAATCGCAAAAATCGCGAAATTAAAGACCCAGGAAATTAAGTTCCAATAAGGTATTGTTTTATTTTCACATTATTTTAGGTCCCCTTTTAAATTCTTAAATATTTTTACCTCTTATCTTACATAATTTATTGCATTCTACCATTCGTGACATTTTAAACTATTTCTTACTGTTAAAAAAGACATATTTTATAATTTTTTAACTCGCACTTAAAAATGACCCCGGAGTGGTCGAGAAGTGGTGATTTTTTATCATTAGCTTTTATTACAAAAAACATATTTTAAATATTTTTACTTACACTTAAAAATGACCTCAGAGAGGTCAAAAAGTCGTGATTTTTTATCAGTAGTTTTTATAAGTCACCCTGTCTTAATATTGCCAATCATCACTTTATTAGGAGACTATAACAATGTTCTGTTTGAAACCTGATGCAGTTTTTAATTTGATATTGATTTAATATAATGTAAGTTTCACAGCCCTGAGTGAACCTACCAAAAATGAGATTTCTCGCAGCTTCCATTATTTAATCTCCTTGAAAGAATCTTCCCCCCATTAAAACAACATTAACTTACACGTAATGGCAATACTAAAACATTATACACGCATGTTCTGACACTGATTGTGTCCTGATATGTAGATGCTCTAATTCAAACTCATGGAAGTTTAACAAGGGGGCAGGAGCAGTGGAACATACTCTCTTTGGAAACAAACTTTTAAGTTTGCTCTTAAAAGAGCCCTCAAAAACCTACCAAAAAGGCTTGCTTAATAGCACCATTGTCTGCAATATTTTCTCCAAGAGTTTGGATACCATTAAGCTGTAACATGAGAAAATGTACAGAAGGTAATGTCAGTATAGTGTCAAAGTAGTCATTTTCGAGGAACTATAGCTGCACTAATTACATTGGCTTGTGACAGAAAGGCATTAACAGCAAATGTACACAAGAATCAAAAATAGTTCAGTAAGGCTTGAAAAATAGAATTTGCCCTACTGTTGCATATAAGTAGGCCTTAGTAAAAGTAAAAACGCTATGTAGTTTTTTTCTTCAAATATCTTGGTATTTCCGAGAAAAAGGACATTATCGGTTTCACGTCCAGACATCAATCTAACGAGTTCTAACTGGACTGAAAATTGACCATTTTCATTCGATTCGCATTTCGCAACTATCGAGCACAGAAAAGTTGTAAAACAACCAACTCAATGCAGAACTATTCCTTGTCCAAAAAAGCCCAGTTTCAAGAATATTGGATTTATCTAACTATTTAGCAGTAAACAAAACCAAAGTGTTCTCTAACAATGAGCTCGTCAGTCGGTGAAAACAATTGTCATTTTGACCGTGTGCCATGCCTCGGAATTCCAAAAGATTTTAGATTCTATCTACACTAGGATAGGTCTTTCAATATATGTAAAGTTTGGTTTGGGCAAATGATTAGGCACTCGTCAAAACATTATTCAAATCATACACAAAAAATTTAAAATAACGCCAGCTGTCAAATGCGTGACAAAAAGTGCTATCATCGATTTTGTCATTAAATCACTTCAATTCGAAGTATCACAGGAATATCAGCACACTTAAGCATAAACAAACATATATATGTTTACCTTAGATGGGTCATCATGTCTTGACTGTCAAACAACATTCCTATCTTGCCATTTCAACGGTGTTCCATTAGGTTTGCATAACCTGAACGCATTCGTCTGGTGATTTTGAATTCCCCAAATCGCTCAATATTACCAAGTTCCTATGTTCCTATTCCTGTGTTTTCCGTTTTGTTGTTCGGTACAATCATTCAACCTGCTATCAGGTAGAAATCCCCAGTAATTAGCAGTGACAAATAAGCCGCAATCTTCGATGGTTCCGCGTCTCTTAATTGCATATTGTCCAGGAAAAGTCTTTGCGCTCAGGTCAGGGTAGAGTGGGAATTATTTCCGAAAGAAAAAGCGTTAGAATTTTTCCAATATCTCGATGTTAGTTCCAATTCAGAGCACCCCTTCTTACGTAAAGCGATAAAATGCTACACGCGAATCAGGTCTTTGTGGCTTACAATTCAAACAAAGAAAAGTAACTCTGTTAAAAGCTCTGAAATCCCGACCCTCACCCCCATGTAAAATATGTTGTAACGTTCAGTCAAAATGGAGGACTTTCAAACGTCTTCAAAATGGAAACCCGAAAGTCGCACGTGGAATAACGCTTCAGC